ATATTCCTTAAAAAATGTTGTATATCTTTGAAAAAGTTGAGAGAGCATATAGAAAATGTAAAGATTTACGGGAAAGATTTTACTTTCATTACACCTTAAAAGTTTCTGAAGAGACAGCGGAAAGTTTGGAGTAAAGGTTTCCAGAAAACGGACAGGAATTCAAGTAATTTGTTTCTCATCGGATCTCATTTGGGAATAATATTGTTTCCCAAGCATATTGAGAACTGATTACTTTGGTATAATATCAGTTGCTCTCACAGGAATTTCACAAAAAGTATCTTGATCTCATTTCAGAAGGAACGAGTCAAATATTTACCGTGTCAATATTCACTTAACAAACACTTTTTGGCTTTACGAAACACTGGAAAAAATTAGTTTACAGTTTTTCACAGAAATTTTGGATACTAAACCCTTTGCGTGTGTCATTTAAGCTGCGATTTAGTTTTTTCTTGCTTCTTTTTTTCAATAATTGTGAACACTTTTATTTTGGGTTATTAACAACACTGGAATTTGGTGCACTCACCGCTGCTGTGGAGTTCTCCCACTTCTTGAAGTCGCGCCAAACGTACTCGTGCAGCGGCACATTGGGCACCTTGATGGGGTCATAGGGCGAGGTCTTATAGTAGCCGTCCTCGGCATTGTAGTGCAGAAACTTGTCCCGTTCGTTGATGCTCTGGGCGCGCTCGACGCTCGCCGTGTTGCGCTGCCGCCGATTGGTTGTGATTGTGCGAGCGGTTGCCGCACCGAATGCGTGCGCGGCGCTGCGCAGGCGCAGCATCTGGGCTGGATACATGTTCATTGATTAACTCGGGATCGATCTGGTTCTCGCTCTCTTTGGCTCTCTTACAGTGAGAACCGCACAGTCTCTCGCGCGTATGTAACGACTGATTGGAGTTGGCTTGAGCTTGGTTTTTGGATTCTTTTAGTTTGTTGTCGGGTTGTTGAGTTTTGTTTTGACTGCACTGCTGGCTGTTTACTGCTTACTGCTTACTGCTGGCTGCTGGCTGCTACACACACGTCTATCGCTTTGAAGTGCTGAGGCACGACTGCCCGTTGGCGTCGCAGCGGCAACGTTGCCGGCTCGCCGGGCCCACCAATACGCTAGCAAGCGACCGTGTACACACACGCACGCACACAAACAGATCGCGTTGGCGTTGGCGTTCGAAATGGGCGTGTGTTGTTATTTCTCTTTTGTTTTGTTTTACGCTGTGCTCATCTGCGCCTACGCGTTCATTTTGTAGTGCATGTTTGTTGTTGGAGCTGCATGATCAGTCTCACTCGCTAGTTCTCTCTCTCTCTCTCGCTGTTTGAGTGGCGCATGCTGCTGACGCTCTCCGTGTGCCTGGCTGCATATCTGTAACAGTAAATTGTAAGTCAGTGATGCAATTTTATGCTAACATATATTTGTCACTGCATATATAAATTTGTGTGTGTGTGTGTGTGTGTGTGTGTGTGTGTGTGTATAAAATTAGTAATTTTATTGGCATCGCAGTCTAGCATGCTCGCAATCAAGTGAATGTGTTTGGCTGTGTGCATGTCTCTCTTATGCATTTACCGCAAGCAGAATCGAGTTGTCACTCAATATGTAGGCATGCATGTGTGTGCATATGTTGATTGAAATTCCTGAAAGACCAAAATCACATGCTTACATGCACATGTCGCATGCATGTAGATATGCATGTGCATGTGTGCATATGCATGTGTGAAATTTAAGCTCTGCTTCAATTGGAATTTAACGATTGATACAAATAAAACATATTTCGGATTTTAATTGTTAATTGTCACTAGTTAACACGTTTAATCAAATGTAACACGGGTGTATAACAAAATATGCACAAATACACCCATTGTAATACCCTATCAAACGCACTGACGAGGTGCATATACTTTTTAGCATTAATTGCTAATATAGCTAGGTGGGATTTAAGTATATACTGATGTATTCATTCATACATATACATCAATATATTCACTCATACATATGTATGTACACAGAAGTATAACAATCAGGGGGTATTTTCATAGAATCTGTTATAACTGAAAAGATAAAAGATATTTTATAATTTTTCGTGAACTTTACAATATATTATACAAAATATGTTAAGATATATCAAATATATATACACAAAGTGAAAAATAGTATTTAAGATATATGTATATAAATATCAAAAACAATAATACATATATATATTATATATAATCGTTCAGGTCTTCGTTAGATTGAAAATTATTTATAATTAATTTCTATAATATGTTCGAAACAGCGACAATTTGTTTAGATAGATATTGACTTTACAGATACCTCAAATGTTTTTATATAATATATTTAGGTTTTGCTTTACACACAAATATTCTGGGAACTTAAGTCTTGTATCTTTCCTTATTAGAAAAGAATCAACTCAATTTATCGGTTCTGGGATTAGTCGAAGTTTGGCATGCTTGATCTATTATGTTACCTAACTCCAAACACGCTTCGTATTGCTCGCATTCTGAGCCCAATTCCCGGAATCCGTATATAAATACATATGTACAGTTTATCAGGGAGGGAGGGGGGACTGCAAACGCAAGTTACCGCAAAACTTGCAGTCCCCCCTCTCCACCTCAGCACCCAGCCAGCGTTACACACATCAGCAAGTTAATTGACAATTACATGCGTCTATTACATAGTATGTGCCCCCCCGCCGATCCAACCCACCACCCCCTCCGAGGTCTACCTTGATAAGCCTTATCGCCATCTATTGTCTTTCAGGCGCATTTCGGCCTTGTGGGCATGACTTGCAGGGTTCTTATCACTTATCACTACGAGTGTTATTATTATAATTACGTTTATGGGCGAGCTCAGATGTCCAATTGCAGCTGATTAGCCGAGAAAGTGTAAATTAGATAGTACGAGACGCTACTCTAATCAACAAGTGAAACTTGGGATTACGGACGGTGCAAAGTCCAACGAAATAAAAACGAAATTAAAGCCAAAAAAAAGAGCACGCACCGAAATTCGACACCGAAAACTGGACCTGGGTTTCGGCTGGACCTGCGCCACGGTCACCGCGCCTCCTGGTCCCCGCGCCCGGAGGGCATTCAACTTTTGCGGGCTGTGCGTAAGGCGACACCTGGCGGCGAGTTACAGCATTTTATGGGAAATGGATCCGTGATTTTATCAATAGCCACATTTAAATACTTGTTGCTGAGAGAGAGAGAGAGAGAGACAGAGACAGAGAAGGAGAGGTATTTCTAGCTCAAGGCCAGTTTAGCCTAACCCACACACACACACACACACTTACACACACACAGAGTAAACGACTCGATTTGCATTCGTTTATTTATACATATTATGTTTTGTCTTTTGCTTTTCTTTTTCTCATTTCGAATGCACTTTTCTGCTAAGTGTATCAGGACTTTGTCATCGACTTGGTGTCCAATCAGAAAATTGGCTGTGAAAAATTATCAATTCGTTGGAATTTGGCTCGTCACAGTCTCGATCGATTAGCTTGCTTGATTACAAAAAAACATTTTGTTTATATATTTAAACACACTTTTAAAATTTTGATTTTCTTAATTATCGCAAAATTGAAGCAGTGCTGATATGTATATGTATGTATGTAGGGTATAGCATAAATCACATTGAATGCGTTTGAGCAATGTGCAGTTATTGCAGCTATAAAAGCACTCAAGCAGTCAACAGGATTAATTTGCGCTCAATGCTAATAACAGCTAATCCCACTAAGTGCTAGCTAAGCGCGCTCTCTTAAGCGCTGCACCCGCGCTCGCTCACACTCCCACTCACTCTCTCGCTCTCGCTCTCGCTCTCACTCTTTTGTGGTAAGTGCACACGCTGTTCGTGTTGTTGCATTGGCCAGACACTTGTTTACTTTCTTGTTGCGCTCAGCTTGTGTGTTGTGAACTTTGGACTCGGCGCACGGCGCACGGCGCTCAGCGTCAACGCCGTCCAAATTGCTGGCTTCTCCGCTTTCAGTTGCGTCGCGGCAGCGCTCGCTGTCGCAGTCGCAGTCGCCACACAAATAAATACATATATGTAAATAAATGATGGTAATGCGAAGCAAACCAGTTTACCGTTTGTTGTTGTTGTTGTTGTTGTTGTAGTTGTTGCTGCTGCTGAGGCTGCCGCCGCGGCTGCTGCTACTGTTGTTGTTGTTGTTGCTGCTGTTGTTATTGCATATGGTACGTCTTGTTGTGTGTGGCTCAGTTTGTTTACTTCGGCTTTGCTTCACGCATTTACTTTTACTTTTGCTTTTGCTTGATCTTGATCTTACTGTTAACTGTCTGTCGATCAATTAATGCTATTTTAACAGTCTCTGTTAATTAGCAAATTTCACTTGACTTTTTCTCTATATGCAAATAATTGCCACAGGTTTGCACAACACGCATACACGTGTACACTCACACGCACACGCACACGCACACGCAGATGCGTTAACTTGGCGCTTAATCGTTAATCGATATATCTTTAATCGGTTTAGTGCCTCAAGCTGCGTGCCTGCCGTGGCCAGCGTGTATCTTGCAACTGTTGGACCCACAACTTGGCCTGGTTTGGGGTTAGTTTTTGCCATTTGTGGCAGGGGCACATACGATGAAACCCACCCTAGCCAAGCCAAGCGGGCAAGTGGCGCAGGCGCAAGCCTCGGCTAACAGACGCCAGGTGGAGCTACCCAATGAAAGCTCAAGCTGAGCTTTTGTCTGGTTGTGAGCCTCGCCAAGCAGCTGTTGAAAGCGCGCAGCTTGCCCAAAAGCAAGACTTGGACTTAAGCTTGAGTTGGAGCTTTCACAGCCGCAGCTGTTCGACCGAAGTCTACACTGAAAGAGAGTGGGCGAGCGTAAGATATAGAGAGTGCGAATGTGAGAGAGTAGGCGGCGGTGAGCACGAGTTTCTGTTGTCGGCGCCGCTTGAGTTCGTAACGAGTTCGTAGTCTACTTTTAGGTGCGTAGCCGCGCGCAACATACGCCATCTGAGCCAATTCTCAAGCGAATTCTCTCACACCGAAAGCGTTGCCCAACAGAAATACAAATATATAACAAATTCCGGTGTGCTGTGCCATTTGTACTGGTGGCCTTTGTTGTTTTTTTTTTTTGTGATTTTTGCGCTTGTTTTTTTTTTTTTTTTTTTTTTTTTGCAACACATAAAAATTAACCAAAGCAAGCCAAGCCAGCCAAAAGTGTGGCACAGAGCGCGCGCCGCGTGCCAGTCAAAAAGGACATCGAGCTTGCAACTTGGTCAGAGTCCACGTTCAAGTCGGCAATTGTTGCATATAACGGAGCCGCTGGCTAATTCCCGTTACAAGTTTCCCAACAGCTTCAGCACATTTTCTTTCACATTTTTTTTGCGGTGACATCCGAACCACGCTAGATCTAGCTAAATATATGCATATATTTTCATTACTTATTCTCTTCCCTCCGAAACGACTGCAGTGCAAAAACAAAAAAAAACAAATGTGAAAGGCGAAAAACGCGTTAAAAGTAATCAAAATTAATACAACAAACAAGAAGAAGAAGAAGCAGAAGAAGCAGAGGAAGAAGAAGAAGCACACACACAGCGAGAACACAACAAAAAAGGCAAGAAGCGGGCAGAAGCCGAGCGCAAAGCAAAAAGGAATACATTATTATTATCCACAAAAAGGCAATCAAAAAAGCAACAGCAACAAAAGGTAATCACTAAAGAGCCATTGCCGCTAACTTACACACACACACACACACACACACACACACATAGATACAGCCACTCTCGCCTCCCTCTCTGTCGCACACTCTCTCCAGTACTTCATGTATTGTGTAATGAAGTTGAGTTCGCCTGCCGCCTGCTGCTTCTTATGTTTTTTTTTTAGTGGGCAGGGAGCAAAACGCCGCCAACGAAATGTGCGAAAGTTACGCACAGCGTGTGTGTGTGTGTGTGCGAGTAGTGCGGTACTTTAAGAGAGTAAGCGGGAAGGAGAGCGAGCGGCATAAACACACTTGTAATTGTTGTCTTGGAGAGTTGTTGTTGTTGTTGGTGTTGGTGTTGTCGTTGTTGTTGCGCTAGGCAAAAAGTTCGAACAGCAACAAAGCAAAAACTTTGAATACTTTCAGCTATTGTTGTAGTTGTTCTTGTTGTTGCTGCTGGCTGAAATGTGTGTCAGTTGTTAAGGCATAAAGGAATTCCAAGCACACACACACACGCACACACACACACGCAGCACAATTATGTCAGCAAAATGGCAACAACAATTGGTCGCCTTTTTCTTTTTCAAGTGCAGCCGAAAAGTATGCAACAGCAACAAAGTATCAAAGAGAGCGCTGCCGCTGCCGAAGCCGCTGCCGATGCCACTCTGCCGCCGCCGCTGCGGTTGCCGGTTGCATAAGTGTCAACCGCAGCAGCAGCAGCAGCAGCAGCAGCACGCATACAGTTGGAGAGCCACTGCAGCGGAATGAAGTGCGCCAATGTTGCGTGGCAGCAAATTCCAAAAAGGGGTTAACAGCAAGAACAAGAACAAGCAGCGGCTGCGGCTGCGACGCTAGCGCTAGACGCTAACGCTGACGCTGACAGCGCTGTTGAGTGAAACGCAACGTGACAGTAACACACGCACGGCGTGCATATGTATGTGTGTGTGTGTGTGTGTGTGTGTGTGCGGTTAGCGAAATGAGAGAATAATAAAACAGGAACTGAAACTGACAACTACTTAAATATTTAAAGCAATTGCAAAAAAGGGGCGCCTGTGTGCGTGTGCGTGTGTGTGTGTGTGTGTGAAAAACACAATGGCAAAAAGATAAAAAAAAAATGACAAGCAAATCTATTGGCAACAACAACAACAACAAGCAAGCAAGCGAGCGAGCGAGCAGCCCGCACGTTGGGTCAAGCAAGCGGGCGGGGGGTAGGTGAGTCTGTATATGTGTATGTGTGTGTGTGTGTGTGTGTGTGTTGTCTTTTTTTTGGTTAGGTTTTTTTTGCTGTTAACATAAAATAAATAAAATGCGAAAAAAGTTGTGACAGCAACAGCATGAAAATTCGTTGTTGTTTTTTTTTATATTCGCTTTTATGTTGCCTGCTTTTAGGCGCCACCGCAAAATCGAATATATAGACTTTCTAATACCCTGTAGTCATCTGAAATCTTTGATATGATTTAACATAAAGATAAGGAAGTGGAGATAGAAAAGATAGAAATATATATGATATGTATATATGTATGTTTCTGTATACATATATATTCCTGAACAGCCTAAATAGTCGAGCGACTTGTTGTCTATATTCCAAACAGATAGAGAGCTTCTTATAAATAGAACACAAGTATAGATCACATTTGCAACTCACGCGTTTCAACAAATTCGATTTATTTGATTTGTGATTCATGTGCCAAATCGATAAAAATCGAACTTTAGCATCGTATCTCTATATGCATTTCGCGGAGATAACAATAACTGTAGAAACTTCATCTGCTATGCAGGTTTTTATTTGCCCTGAGCAAAGCCTTTCGATAACTTTTCCAGTTACAACATTTATCGATAATAGTCGAATGTGAAATTACTTCACATATTTCGTATATTTCGCACTTTAACTTAACTTAAAAACTAAATATCCCGAATTCGCAAATCGATAGAAATTAATATAATTTGATAAGATCTGGTTGCTTATGGAGTCTCGCTTTATATGCAAGAGCTGCTTTACAGGGTAGCTGCTCAGTCGCAAGCACTTGCAAGTTGTGTTCGTTTCTTTTTGCATATTTAATATGACAATTCCTAAATGCGATTTGTGCGTGTGTGTGTGCGTGTGTGCGACAGTTGCTGTGCCTAATGAAGTGTGGCCCACGCTTATTGCTTGACTGATTCGACTAGGCCCAAAGTCGTAGCGCCCCAACTAACTCTATTTTTCTCCCTCCCTCTCTCTCTCTCTCTCTCTCTCTCTCTCTCTCTCTCTCCCTCTCTGGCCTGCACATGTTTATTTATTGCATAACCAAAGCCAAAGGCCCCAGAGCAGGCGTCGTCCATTTGCGCTACGCTGAGGCCAGCATCAAAAGCCAAAACCCAAAGCCAATCAATCAGTTTCGCCAGCCAGGAGGGGGAGGGGGAAGGGCTGGGGCGTGGGGCGTGGAGCAGGGATCTGGCAGCAGCAGCTGCTTTGGCCAGCAACTGGAGGTGGCAATGAAATCTGTGGAGTCCGTTTGTCCAATCATCTCTACGATGACGGCCAGAAATGTACGCATGCTACTTGCCCGAAATTGAGTTGCTTCTTGCCACAATCCGTTGCAGGCACAGACCAGAAGAGACAGAGAGTCGGTGGAAGCAGGGCGAGAGGGGCTCGCATGATACAGGCCAAATAAGCACATTAGACAGCAGCAGCTTAAATTGACTTTGCCAATGACTTTCAGAACCTCATATTCAACTCGACGCTTTAACTGGTTGGGAATTATAAGCGGCGCGTGAAAAGCAATGCAATTGCTTGACATAGGTTCGCTGCGTTGCGTTGGTAGTTGGTTTAAGCTTAAAGTTTGTCGTCTTTTGTGCAAATTTGAAGCTCTATTTCTGTTGGAAATATGATTGAGGATATATTTCGGAAGTATTTCAATCCTACTTGGAGTCTTCCTGGGAAACTTACCACGAAATCCATAGTAGGTCTCTACTCAAATTCATTTTCGATTGTCTCTTTTCCTTTACAGTTTAAAGCAATTTCTAGTTGTTGGCGAATACATGAAGAAATCATGGAGAAAGGGTGGCGAAAGTGAAACTGGGAACAGGTATCTAAGAGAAGTTTCTACATATTACGTTGGTCTAGTAGTAAGTGGCTTTCGAGTCTTAAAATATACTTAAGGAAACGCAGTTTTGGAAACTATTAGCGCGCCTAGAAGTATGCTGCAAAAACGTTTTTTGCGTAATTGAGGCGAAAGTGAAATTTAGAACACAGTTAAGTGAATCCTAAATGGAAGTATGCGCTGCAAGAGCACAAAGCAAGATCCGTAGAAGGATCTGCATTGAGAGGACCCCAAGAGTTTCCCAAGTGTAAGACGTTCCGCTTCTGCCGAAGGCAAGAGCTCAAAGTTAAAGCCTTAGAAGGATGAGGTACTTAAAAGTTTCCCAATTGGAAGATATAGCCCTTATGCCGAAACCAAGAGCCGAAAGTAAAACCCTTAGAAGAATCTGGATTACCCAAGTGGAAGACGTACTCCATCTGCCCAAGCCAAGCGCAGAATGGAGACGAGCTCCCTTTTGACTGAAGCTTGGTTTGCTACGACTAGAAAAACAAGAAGAAGATTCGATGTTATTCCCAGAATCTTCCCAAATGGATTCTCTCTCTCTCTCTCTCTCTCTCTCCCTCTCTCTCTTTCTCTCTCTCTCTCTCTAACAACTTCTTGAGAAATGACTTACTCAAGTCCAATGAAAAGAAAACCAAATACATTTTTTGTCCAAAACAGAAAACAAATTGAGTTTATCAAGTGCCCCCCCCCCCCCCCCCCCCCCGCCCACTCAGCAAGGCCTTAACATTTGCAGCAATTTATTATGCCCCAAAATGTATGCCACAAATATTTTTGGATTTCTTTTTTGGCATAGAAATTGATTCGAGTCGGCAAATGAGAACAGGGCCTTATGCACTTTTCGGGCACACAATTGCCACGTGTCCACAAGCCCGCTGGGGCTGTGGCTGGGGCTGTGGCTGGGGCTGGGATTGGGATTGGGGCTGGGCCGAACAGACCGCAAAACAAATCAATCCCAGCTTGCCCCGCTCCGCCGCGCCGCGCCTGCATTGTTGTGCCGCACAAATGTTGCAGGCTTGCCATATCCGTTGGCCATATTGAAAGGCCATCTGTCTTCCGCTTCCGCAGGGGTCAACTGCTAACCGGCCGCTTCCTGCTTCCAGGCTTAACGGCGCGACGCCCCCATCCCGCCCACGCCGCCCACGCCGCCCAATCATATTTGTTTTTCTGCATTTCGAATGCATTTTGCTGCTGCGCGGGCCGAGGCGCGTGCGGGGCGTCAGCCTGCTGACCACCTGCTGACCTCCTCCTGGTTGTTGTTTTTTGTTTTTTGGCATGTCCTGTCCTTGTCCTCGTTGACCTTGTGTCAAGTGCTCGGCCCAAAGATATTGTCGTGCCTGCTGCCGCTGCCGCTGCCGCCGTATCAAAACAAGTTTATTAACAGTCTATACAGCCGACCGCCCCCTGCCCCGCCGACTCCACCCTCAAACCAATAGCCTCTGGCAGCTGTATTTTATAGCTCCCCAGCGGCACAGGGAGCACATGTGTGTGCATAGCTCGACAGCGCCTGTCAAACCCCGCGGCGACAGTTTAAGCAGCACTGTGCGCTGGGCCACACAATGGGCAAATACTGGCACAGTTTGCGGGCGGCATTTTGATACCCTGTATCCATTGAAAATGGTTAGAATGGGGGATAAAAGGTAGATGACAATTTATGTAACAAGCAGAAGGAGGCATCCCGATCCCATTGGGCATATGCATATGTACATATATAAGGGCTCTAAAGTCGGTGCGTTACAGTTTGAAAGTCACCGTGTAGATAAAGCACAATATAGCACAGAGTCACAGTGCTGATAACAGACATATTGCACAGTTATAGATTCACAGTTTTAGAGCTTGTCACAGCTCTAGTCACAGATAAACAGCGATAGTTTTACAGTCACAAGAGTATTATGTATAAAGTATGCACATAAAGAAGAGTATATTAA